CCTCCACCTCCTTCCTCCATCCTCCTCATCCTCCTCCTCCCCTCCCCACTCCCCTCCCCCTCCCCTCCCCCTCCCCCTTCCCCTCCTCCCCTCTCCCCTACGAAGACTTCCGGCCCGAGACCGTCCCGCCGACCCCCGCCGCCGACCACGCCCGGCGTCCCCACCCCAGCCCTGCAGGCCTTTGTTCCTGGGGGCCCCGCCCGACGGTCTCCGGCCCGAGACCGCCCCGCCGACCCTCCGCGCGGCCGACCTGGCCTGGTCGGGGATCTCTTCGGACCCGGGTCAATCCAGACCCGGGTCAGCAGGAAGCCAAAAGCTGCAATGCAGGAAGAAAAACTGCAGCGCAGGTCTTCGCAAACCCGGGTCCGCCCATACGAGCGGCCGCCTCGCGGCCACGAGCGGCTCGCTAACCCGGGTCAGCCAGAGGGGGTCTTCGCAGGATCCTGCAGGATCTGGCGCCCTGGCTGACCCCCGTCTGCACTGACCCCCGTCTCGAGGCTCCCGACCTGGCACCCCCGCCCTCCGCCCGGGGGCGTCCAGGTCGTCGAGCCGCAGCTGCGCCGCCAGGCAGCGCTCCTCGATCTCCTGGTGCGCCCTGGTCCTGGGGGCGCAGGAACGAAGCGAGAGAGGAGGGGGGGAGGAGGGGAGGGAGGGAGGGAGGGAGGGAGGGAGGGAGGAGAGGGAGGGAGTGAGGGAGGGGAGAAAGGGAGGGAGGGAGATTGAGGAGGGAGGAGGGAGGAGGGGAGGAGGAGGGAGGAGGAGGAGGAGGAGGAGGAGGAGAGGAGGAGGGGAGGAGGAGGAGAGGAGGAGGGAGGAGGAGGAGGAGGAGGAGGCCGCGGCGCCGCCCGCGAGCGGCCGCGGCGCCTCTGCACCGGCCGACCCTCTTCGGGGCGGGGGGCCCAGCTGTTGACGAGAAGCGTCAGGGGAGGGGGGAGGGGAGACGACGGTCAAGGGGGGGACGAAACTGCATTCCTGGGTCAAGGGAGGAGAGACGACGGTCAAGGGAGGAGAGACGACGGTCAAGGAGAGACGACGGTCAAGGGAGGAGAGACGACGGTCAAGGGAGGAGAGACGACGGTCAAAGGGGGATTGAGCAGGGACCCACCGTCCCGGCATTCCTGTGGGTCCACCACAGCATGTTCTCAGAACCCAGACGTGTTCCAGTGGCAAAAGCATTGGCCTTAGAACGTGAGCCCCGTATGTCTGTTAGAACAAGACAATCTCGGCCAGAAATCTCCTCATAACATTTCGCGCAGACACAAGAGGTTCTTGGAACAGTCTTTGGTGGACCTATGGGCAAGCCAAGACGCTTCGCCACTGCGTAATAGGATGGCGAAGGCCAGGGCAGGAAATAAGCTCCCGTAGCTGGTTTTCATGGCGCCTCCCAGGAGCCGCTTCACTTGAATAGAAAAACATAAGCTGGCCACTGCATCGGATCTCGGTCCGCTTCGCCCCTCCCCTGGACCCCTCCCTAGAAGGCTTCGTCCCACCAGAGCGTCATCTCTCGTGCCTCGCTTTCTCCGTTATCTGTGCCGGCAGGAACTTGCCCGAAATGGTTCATGGCTCCCTTCGCTCTAGGGAGCCTTGGTGTTGAGAGCTTCTTGCGTTAGCGCGCTCTGTTGGGAGCCCTGGTGTTCAGAGACTCCTACGCTGCCGCCCGCTATGAGAGGCCCTGCTTGCCCTGAGCTCGTTGCGTCACCGCTCGCTGCTGGAAGCCATGCTGCTATTTGGCGCCTCAGGGGCTTCTCGGGGATCCTTTGCTGGCCATTTCAGGGGGAGGGGGAGGAGGAGGAGGAGGAGGAGGAGGAGGAGGAGGAGGAGGAGGAGGAGGGAGGAGAGGAGGAGGAGGAGGATGAGGGAGGAGAGGGGAAAGTAGGAGGAGGAGGAGGAGCGGGAGAGTAGAGGAGGAGGAGGAGAGTGGAGGAGGAAGGAGGAGATGAGATGAAGAGGAGGAAGGGGGGGGGGGAGGAGGAGGAGGAAGAAGAGGGAGGAGGGAGGAGGAGGAGGAAGTAGGCAGGAGGATGAGAGAGGAGGAGGAGGCGAAGGAGGCCGGAGGAGGGGGATGAAGTGCGGAGGGGGAGGATGAGGAAGAGGAGGAGAGGAGGAAGGGAGGAGGAGGAGGAGAGGAATAGGAGGAAAGAGGAGAAGAGGAGGAAGAAGTAGGAGAGGAGCGGGTAAAGGAGGAAGGAGGAGGGGGGAGGGGAGTAGGGCGGGGGAGAAGGGCGAGGAGGGAGGAAGGAGGGAGGGACGGAGGGGGGAGGGGGAGCGGGGAAAGAGGAGGAGGGAAGGGGAAGAGGGGGAGGAGAGGAGGGAGAGGAGGGGTGAGGGGAGGGGGGAGAGGAAGGGGGATGGGGATGAGGGGGGGGGGGGGTGGAGGGGGGTGGGGAGGGGGCAGGTATGTGAGGTGAGGAGGAGGAGGAGTGGCCGCCTGGGGGCCAGCCCTGCCCCCACACGCAAGCACCCCCCGTCGCCACACCGCCTCGTCGGGCCCGCTTTGGGCGCCTCCTGGGGGCCGCCGTGGGGCCCTCTCGGGGAGCCCTCTCGGGGGCCCTCGTGGGGCCGTCTTTTGGGCCCTCTGGGGGCAGTCAGCTACTACTCCTACTTACTAAACTACTTACTTCCTACTCCTCCTCCTCCTCCCCTTCCTCCTCTCCTCCTCCTCCTCCTCCTCCTCCTCCACCCCTCCTCCCTCCTCCTCTTCTTCCTACTACTTCTCCTCCTCCTCCTCCTCCCCCTTTTCCTCGCCTCCTCACCCTGGATTGTTTTTGACCGTCGCCGCGGCCTTTGGGGGGCCTGTGGGGCCAGAACGCGTAGATCCATCAATGATCTCTTCTCTCAGGGCCCGTCTTCGGTCGACGAAAACTGTACAGTCAAAAACCCCAATAAGGACGCGCGGCTTTGCTCAGGGTGCCCTTGCGTCCTTGCTCTTCCTTGCTCTTGCGTCCTTGAGGTTTTCGTCGTCCGCCGCCCCAAAAATCCCAACTTCGGCTTCCAAGGATCTTGCGTCCTTACCGCGCGTCCTTATTAGGGTTTTTGAATGTATCTTTTGGGGCCTCCTGGGCCGTGCAGTCAACCCCGTATGGTAACGATGCGCGAGAAGGATGCAAAGGGCCTTCTGGGCGCCCGTTTCGAAGCTCTTCGAATGGGGCGCCAGGGCCAAGATGGGCCAACGATGGGCCGAGGAGGCAAGGATGCAAGAGTCGCTTTGGAAAGCTGCGCATCATTACTATGCGGGTTGACTGTATGGGGCACTTCTGGATCCGAAAAAGCGAACGCCCGAACAACCATGAAAAACCTTAGAAGGAACAGTGTTTTTGGCCTCCTGGGGCCCCCTTCGGGGGCCGTCTTGAAGGCCGTTTTGGGGCTCTTGGGCCGTATTGGGACCAGTCCAGTCGTCACACCCAAGCAGCCGAATCCCCACACCGCCTCTCCGGGCCCCCTTGGGAGTCTCTTGGGGGCCTCTGAGGCCCTTGTGGGGCTCTCTTGGGGCCGTCATGGGGCCTGCGTGACTGTTTTGGGCCCCTCTTGGGCCGCCGGGGTTCGTCTGCGCCTCGAAGGGCTGCGCACGCAGGTGCTTGTTTCAGGGTTGACCACTTCTCCCCCCGCGTCTCCCCCACCCGCGCGCTGGCAGGGGAAGGCGGGGACGTCCAGGGGAAGTCTGGCTGGCCGTTGATTATGATCACCCTCTGTCCTGGCAGCCCCTGCTGGAGGGCCAGCGAGAGTGGATCGAAGGGGGGGCGCGCGAGAGGTGAGGGGGCGGCGGGGAGGGCCCCCCCTGGGCTCTCAAGATTCTGTCCGTCGGCGATCATGATGGCTGCATTCTCGGGGGACTCGGGCCCCCCCGAGGTGCCTGTGCTGTTGGGTTGCTCGGAAGGGCGAGGTGGTGTAATTCCTCCCGGGTCGCAGCTGACCGCCGCTGTAGATTCTCTTCCGGTCCGTCCAGGGTGGTTGTTGGTCTCTTCGTCTTCGTCGCCAATAGGTGCTCCAGGGCTGCGGCTGGCCACCGTCTGGGGTGCTATTGGCATCTGGTCTCCAGGGGCGCGGCGGCCGTCCGCGCCAGATGTAGGTTGCCGGTCTTCGTCGAGGCTTTGCCTTGAATCCGTTGTATCGGTCGTTCCCCGCGGGCACCCGGGGTCGCAGCTAACCGTCGCTGAGGGTTGTGGTGCCCCTATCGCCGTTAGCACTGGTTCCTGGTCTGCCCCGAGGGTGGGGGAGGGGGGCGGGGTGGGGGGGACCGGGGTCAGGATGGGGTCTGGGGTGGGGGTGGCGGGGGCCAGGGCCCTGTCCCCCCATATTCCTGCACTGTCTGCCCCCTTCTCCGCCGCCGCGGTCCGACCCATCGATCTCGTCTCCCTCGATCGGCACCGTCCAGGGTGGGCCGAGAGCGGCCCGAGGGGTGTCGTGCCGCCTGGCATCGATGCCGTTTTGGTGGCCGCCGCACCCGCGTGGACTGTGTGTCTGGCTCCCGTGCCCTGCGCTGTGAGGTCCCCGCCCCCCGCGATGCCATCCGACTGGTCCTCCACGCGAGGCAGCTGAGGCCCGTGCTGCCTGGCGGCGCGGCTGCAGCGATGGCCGGCGCGCCCAGGGGGGACGGAAGGGGGCCAGCCGCGGCCCGCGGCGCAGCGTACGGGCGCCCCCTCGAGCGGCGGGGCACTGCCCCGGAGAGGACAGGCCCACCAGACGGCTTGAGCCAGACTACGAGACTACGGTCGTCAAGATTTTTTGTTGGCACGGGAACGGGAAGCGCGGGTTCTATCTGTGAGGGCGCGAAGTCGCTGGCTAGTGTCTTGGAGCCCTGCTGGTGCGAAGGCTTTGGCACACATGCCAACATTTACCGAGAAGCCTTGCGAAAATCAACGACTATTGCATATCCGCGCCTTCCTGGGGGTCCTCTTGGAGCTCTTTTGGGCCGTCTTGGGGCCTTTGGGGGGCCGTCTTGGGGCCCTTTTGGGCCGTCCCGGGGCCCTTTTGGGCCGTCTTGGCGGTCTCGGGCCGCCTTGGGGCCCTCTGGGGGCCCTCCTGGCTTCCCTTAGGGACCTCCTGTGGCCCGCTTGGGGCTCTCTGGGGAACTTTGGTGCCCTGAAGGGCCTCTCCTGGGCCGTCTTGGGGCTCTCGTGGGCAGTCTTGACGCCCACTTGGGTTGTCTCGGGGGCCTCTTCGGCCGTCTTGGGGGCCCCCTGGGACGTTTTGGACGCTGCGAACACCAAAGAAGCGAGTATGCTAAACATGTACGGCTTCCTGAAGGAATGAAGCGATGTGTGCCTGTTGGAGGTCCCCTTTGGGGGCCTCGTGGGGCGCCTTGGGGGCCTCGTGGGGCTGTCTTGAAGCCATCTTGAGCCCTACCCTACTGGAGCGCTCTTGGGCCGTCGTCGGGCCCTCTCGGACCTCTCGGACGCCGTCTTGGGCGCTTTGGGGGCTGTCTTGGGCGCTGCCCTGGGGGCGTCTTGGGCGCTCTTGGGGCTGACTTGGGCCGTCTTCGGCCGAGAGAATCGCCGAAATCAGGGCCAATAGAAGTCATCGTCCGGCTGCCTACCCCCCCGCACCCCCCCGCGATAGTTCTCCCGGCCAACGGATCGCGGCGCTGCGCGCGCGTTCTGCCATGCGGGACTCCCTGGGGCAGCACCGCTCCCCTGGGCCCCTCCCCAGAGGGCTTCGCCCCTCCCCCCCCCCAAAAAAAACACACACCGCTCGCACCTGTCGTGCCTCGTTCTTTCCGTCACCTGGGCCGGCACGGGAACGGAAAGAGCGCTGCAGGAACTGGCCCGAGATGGCTCCTGGCACCCTTCGCTCTAGGGAGCCTTGGCTTGAAAGAGCTCGCGACGTCATCGCCCTCTGTCGAGAGCCCAGGTGTTCGGAGACTTTTGCGTTGCCGCGTGCTCTTGGGAGCCTTGCTGTTCAGAGCTCTGTACATCACCGCGCTCTGGGGAGCCTTGGTGTGCAGAGCTTGTTACGTCACCGCTCGCTGTGGGGAGCCATGGTGCGCGTCCGGGGTTTCTTGGGGGTCTTTTGGTGGCCCTTTTGGACCGTTTTGGGACTCTTGGGCAGTCTTGGGGCCAGCCCTGTCCCCACACCGCCTCTTCGGGCCCCCTTGAGAGCGTCTTGGGATACTCTGGGTCGACGTCCGCATTCACGTCGCTGCGTTCGTTCGTCTGTTATCGTCGTCGTCGTTCTCGCCGTCGTCGTTCGTATTCTCCGTCGTCGTCGGTGGCTGCCCCTTTCCCTCTTTCTGCCTGGACCTCCTGCTGACGGGCGCGGGCGCGCGCGCGGGCCTCTGTGCTAGATACCTCCCTCCCTCCCGACCACGACGACGACGACGAACGACAATGCCGATGACAGCATACGACGACGACGAACGATAAAGACGACGACGAACGCCGACGACGACCACACACGACCATCGACGACGACGACGACGACGACGACGACGACGACGACGACGACGACGACGACGACGGACGACAACGTCGACGACGACCGACAAAAACGGCAACAACGAAGAAAACCGACGACGGACGACAGACGACGGACGACGGACGACCGACGACGAACGACGAACGACGACGACGACGACGACGACGACGACGACGACGACGACGACGACGACGACGACGGCAACGACGACGCCGCACGACAGCACGACGACGACCGACGACGGCCGACGAAGACGACGGCGACCCACAGAGACGACGACGAAAAAGACGACGACGACGGACCGACGACGGACGACCGACGGCAACGACGGGCCACGGAAGCCCCCGCCGGTCCTCATGAGCGCCCGGATGCGAGCGCGGTGCTCCTCGAGCAGCGCCTCGGAAGGGGGCGGGGCGCCCACGCGGGGCGGCCGCCCCGCGGGCGGCTCCCGGCCCAGGGGGGCCCAGCCTTGGGCCGGGGATTTTGGGAGGGAACAGCCAACATAGCAACAACCCCCTGAAAAAAATCGCAACATGAGCCAACAGAAATCGCCCCCAGACTATTCTCTGTGGGCTATGTTTGAATACGTGCTCCGCCCGTAGCGGGGAATGGGTCGGGCTTCTTGCAGGGAGGAGAACAAGACTGGCAACGAGATGCGCAAAATGAGCCAACAGAAATCGCCCCCAGGCTATCTGTGGACTACTTTTGCACACTCCGCCTGTGGAGGGGAATGGGTCGGGCTTTCTGCAGGGAAGAGCAAGACTGGCAACGAGATGCGCAAAACTAGCCAACAGAAATCGCTCCCCAAACGATGTGTGGACTAGGTTTGACTACTCCTCCTGACCCGGCTAGAGGAGGAAGAGGAGGAGGAGGAGGAGGAGGAGGAGTAGGAGGAGGAGGGGGAGGAGGAGGAGGAGGAGGAGGAGGAGGAGGAGGAAGGTAGAGGAGGAGTGAGGAGGAGGGAGGGGCCTGCCGGGCCGAAGACCCGGCGGGGGTGGGGGGGGCGGCGGGGCCGCGGGCCCCCCGCCCGCGGGGCCCGAAGCCAGGAGGGCCCCCCCGCCGGTGGCGCGCGAGCGCGGAGTACAGTCGGGGCGTTGACCTAAACGGAACCCCAACTAAGGAACGAGGCCCCTATTTTTCCATGGCAAACCAGGGCTAGGATCGGGATAACTCGCTCCAGAGCGTTCCGGAGCGCTCTCAGAGCGTTCCGGAACGCTCTGGAGCGGCCGCGGCGCCCAATACATCCTCCAAACCCGCCGATTCTCAGAGATTTCGAGTTGTCCCGATCCGATTTTGTCCCGATCTTCGTTTCGTTTTACATGGGTTAAACTTCGATTTCCCGTCGAAAACAGAAGGAAAACCTGAGGCAAGCTGAGAAACACTTCAGGAACACGGAGCCCCTCCCCAACGAAAAGGGTTCCTTCTTCAGCGCCCCGACTGTAGCGATCCATGGGTTCGGCGCGCGGTCGCCACAATCCGTGGGTCGGCGGAGGGGCCCTCGCCGAAGTCTTCGTGCGGCCGGTGCCGCCTCGCTCGTCGGCAGAACTCCACGACGTCCCATGGAAACGGGGCCCGTCGCTGATCCACGCCCCCCTTGGCCCAGACATGCGACGCCCCGATTTTTTCAATGCGGGGTCCCTGGAAGTTCCCGGGGACCGCTTTTGCATCCTGAAAAATTTGTTGACGCTCCCGAGGCCCAGTAGGGGCCCTCAGGAGCCGAAAATAGCGAAAAACCTCCCGTCGTGATTTTCTCATGACTTGAAGGGGGTCTGGGATTCACGCCCCCGTGATCCATGTTTGCGATCGCCCGACCCAGGAGTCCGCCCAGTAGGGTTAAGTCGGGCCTGTCCCCCTGCAGGGGGATTTTCGAGGGAACGTCAAAAAGAGTCCAAACATGTGCAACAATGGCCAACAAATGCTCAAAAAATCGTCCCCAGACCATTTGCTTGACTATGTTTGGATCTTCCCCCTGTAGAGGGACAGGCCCGACTTGACAGTACACCCTGCGAAATGCTTAAGAAATCATGGGTTAAGAAATTCATAGTCTCAGAAATTGAATAAAACCCAGAACTTCTATCAAAATCTTGGGATTTACATTGGAAAGTTAAGAATAATCGAGACTCTGGACGAAAACTTAGGTTTTCTTAAGCATCGCCTAAGGTGTAGGGCTCCCAGGAGGGCTCCCCGAGGAGGTCTCTCCCAGGGCGGGGCGAACTGCGGGGGCGCAGAGTTAGGGGGGGCACGGGCAGGCCCCGACGTCTGCGCCCGGGGGGGGGGGGGGGCCAAGAGGAGGGCGAGGGCAGAGGCTGGGGAAGAGAGGATGGGCCGAGGAATCAGCACGGAGGGACAAGCGCCCGTCAAAGCAGAGCGGGTTCTTTCCGAGGAGGAGGCGGAGGAGAAAGAGACGGGGGGGAGGAGGAGGAGGAGGAGGAGGAGGATGAGGAGGAGGAGGAGGAGGACGAGGAGGAGGAGGAGGACGAGGAGGAGGAGGAGGAGGAGGAGGAGCTGCTGCTCACCTTCTTCCAAAGACATGACTCTCGCAATCCCTCCTTGTCCTCCTCCATGTTCCTCCTCCTCCTGCTCTTGTTGATAATTATCCTCATTATCGTGATCCTCCGTTCCTGTCGAATTGCTACTGGTCCTCCCTCATACTTCATGCTGTTCCTCCTCGTTCCACCGTGAGGAGAGGGGGGATTCTTCCAAACTGTAGATTCCGTGCTCCGAGCATCGAATTCGCTTCCACGAAATAAGTGAAAAGATGCAAGAGGCCCCCAAGACTGCCCAAGAGGCCCCCGAGACGCCCAAAGAGCGCTCGAAGACGCCGAAGATGACCCCAAGACGGCCCAAAAGGCCCCCAAGACAGCCCAAGAGGCCTCCAAGACGCCCCAAGAGCCTTCCAAGAGGCCTCCGAAGAGAGCCCCAAGAGGCCAAAATCGTTGATTTTCATTGTTTTTTTCTATGTTTTTTGTGTTCTGGCTTTTTCTGCTTCCGGACGCTCCAAGACGGCCCAAGAGGCCCCCAAGACCGCTCCAAGACGGCCCACGAAGCTCCCAGAACGGCGCCGAAACGACCCAAGAGAGCCCTCAAGACGGCCCAAGTGCCGCCCAAGACGGACCAAGAGGCCCCAAGACGGGCCCAAGAGGGACTCAGGAGGGATACCGAGAACTCAAAAATGGAGCCCTCCGTCCCAGAAGGCGCCCAGGAGGTCCCAAAGAGGCCCCAATAGGCCTCCAAGAGGCCCCAAGATGTCGCCAAGAGGCCCCAGGAGACTCCCAGGAGGCCCAAAAGAAGCCCCAGAAGGCTTCAAACATGTCTCCCAGGCGCACCCGAACGGCCTCTCAACAGACCCCAAGAGGCCCCCCAAAGAAGCATCTTGACGACGACTCTATTTCGCCCCATCGACAGACGACCCCCAGGGAACTGCTTCACCATCAAAACTCCCCACGCAACGCGTCCGAACGACACCCGCCCCCAAGAGCGCAACATGGGCAACGAACACACAGACAAAAACCAGCGATGCCATATCACGGGCCGGCGGAATGAGCGAAGCGATTCAATAAGTGAAACGATGCCTCATCAGAAGCGGGAATGTACGAACGTCCCCGCGTCGAAGATGCGGTGAAAACATGAAGCATTTGAGCTCGGCCCCAGCTGGGACATGCTCCTCGTTCTCCTCCTCATCCTCCTTCTCATCCTCCTCCACACCGTCTCCGCCCCTGTTCCTCCTCTTCCTCCTTCCTTTCCACCTTCTGATCCGCTTTCTTCTTCTCGTCCTTCTCCTCCTCCTCCTCCTCCTCCTTTTCCTCGACACTCCTCCTCACCACTCCTCCTCCTCCCCCTCCTCCTCGACATCCCTCCTCCTCCTGGTCCTCCTCGTCCTCCAGGAGGAGGAGTCCTCCTCCTCCTCCTCCTCCTCCTCCTCCTCCTCCTCCTCCTCCCCCGGCTCGGGCTGGCAAGAGAACCTCCACCTGGCGCTGGAACTCCTTCTGCAGCGCCGTGATGGCCTCGATCTCGCCTCCGCCGCAGGAGGTGCGCGCACGGCCGGCGGCGGCGCTGGCTCGAGGGACGAGGATTGAGCAGGGACCGACCGTCCCGGCATTCCTATAGGCCTACCACGACATGTGCTTAGAACCCCAAAATGTTCCGAGAACCGAACAAAGTTCTTAGAGCATGAACCCGATGAGTTTTAACAGGGCAACTTCAGCCAGAGCTGTTCTGAGAACAGTTCGTGCAGACCACAGGAGGTTCTTAGACAATTCTGTGGTGGGCCTATAGGCGAGCCAAGACGCTTCGCCACTGCGTGAGAGGAGCGGCGGCGCTGGCCGTTCCTCCCCCCGCTCTCTGGGGGGGAGGAGGAGGAGGAGGAGGAGGAGGAGGAGGAGGAGGAGGAGCAGAGGAGGAGCAGGAGGAGCATCCTGCGAAGGAGGAGGAGGATGAGCAGGACGGAGGAAGGTGGAGGAGGAGGAGGAGGATGAGGAGGAGCAGGAGGCGGAGGAGGAGGAGGAAAAGGAGGAGGGAGAAGGGAGGAGGAGGGGAGTAAGAGGAGGAGGAGGAGGAGGAGGAGGGAGAGGAGGAGGAGGAAGAGGCGGAGGAGGAGGAGGAGGAGGAGGAAGAGCGGAGCGCGCCGAGTCCGCCGGCTGGCCGGCCGGCCAGTGGGCCCCCTCGGGGCAGCACGCGCGGGCTGCGGCCCGTCTCCTGCACGTGCTGCAGAAGGCCTGGTCCCAACCAGGGCTGGACCTAGACGTTGACTTTCGTTTTGTGTTCGTTCCCCATTGCAATCAGTGCTTGCACTGAAGGGGTCCTAGCGGAAATTGCAAGATTTGGCGAACATTTCCCGCCGATGTTGGTAGCCGGCTGGGCTCCCGGGTTCCAGGGTTATCGGTTCCGGGCCGATGTCGGTGGGTTCAGTGTTCCCAGGTTCCCGGTATCGATCTCTTTATCGATCCCATTGCAAACCATTCACTGATTGGGTTTTTCTGTGGTGTAATGTTGTTTTTCGTTTTGCTCCACCTGTCTTCCTGTTCCTACCTCCCAAAACGGAAAAAAACACAGCCGAAGTCCAGCAAAACAGCGTTTAGGTCCAGCCCTGGTCCCAATTCTCCCCTAGTATCCGATCGCACACAGAATCCAACCCATGTTCGGTGTCCCCCCCCCGAGGTCTTGTGCATGAATTGTGACATGTCGTCGCGCCTCCGCTTGCGTCGCCGATCATGTTTGAGCTGCGCTCGTGGGGCGTCGTGCAGCGAGTCTTGTCTGCCTGAAGCGAGGGACGAAAAAGGAGAGGGAGGAAAGAAAGGCGGGGACCCACACATGCCCGCGTCCTACCAAAAAGCACGCACGACGGACATCATGATGGCCCCCAGAACTATAAAAAAACGACCGCGGAAAAAGAAAACAAAGAACGTGAGGGAAAGGATCGGGACGTCCTGGAACCCGTCTTGACGAAAGCAAAGCATCGCATGTCGGGGAAGATCCTATACAGGCCACGCCAATGACCTCCCGTCGATCATTGGTCCACGACGCGGGCATGCCTGGGTGAAGAGCGAGGAGTTACGAACGAGAAGAAGAAGGAGGAGAAGAAAGGGGGGGAGGGGGGACCAGGGGGGTGAGGAGGAGGGGGGGGAGGAGGGAGAGGTAGGAGGGAGGAGGGAGGGGAGGAGGGAAGGAGGAGGAGGAGGGAGAAGGAAGAAGGAGTGAGGAGGAGGAGGAGGAGGAGGAGGAGCCGGAGGAGGGAGGGGGAGAGGAGCTGAGGCGGATGAGAGGAGGAGGAGGAGGAGGAGAACGAGAAGAAGGATGCGTGGATGCGCCCCCCGCTGGCCCAGCACCGAGCAGCCGTGGGCGCTGGCCTCGGCGCAGCAGGAGAGAAAGCCGCGGAGGCCGCGGAGCGAGCGGCGGAGCTCGAGGGGGCCAGCCAGGAGGGCGGGCGAGACCGCCCTTCCCCGAGGAGGGTCGGAGGGGGGGGCGAGCCCGGAGAGAGTCGACGGGAGAGTCGAAGGGGGGCGAACCGGCACAGCCTCGGCTCATACTGGCCGGCCAGCCGGCGGACTCGGCGCGCTCCTCCTCCTCCTCCCTCCTCTCCTCCTCTTCTTCTTATTCTTCTTCTTAGTCTGCTTATTATTCTTGTATTCTTAGTATTATTCTTATTTCTATTCTTAAGTATTATGATTATTATTATATTATTTCGTCTTCCTCTCCTCCTCCTCTCCCTCCTCCTCCTCCTCCTCCTCCTCCTCCCCTCCTCCTCCTCCTCCTCCTCCTCCTCCCTCCTGCTCCTCCTCCTCCTCCTCCTCCTCCTCCTCCTCCTCCTCCTCCTCCTCTTTCGCAGGCTGCAGGGGCACCAACTGGGACGCCTCAAGCGCCAAGCACCCGCGGGTTACCGCGGAAAGGCAAGGACTGCAATGCAAGAACACAAGCCGAAAAGAAGAATGGGAAGCGCAACATACAAAGAACTGTATGATGCTCATCATGGAGAGCACGGAAAAGGGGCGAGGTTGCTGGAGGAGGCCCATTCGGGGTGGCGCTCGGCTGCCACTTCCGCCGCCCTCACGAGGCCTCCTCAATTACCACACTGCCTGACGCTCGGAGAGCTAGAACAACATGCACATGCGGACAGGATGGATCGGAGGCGAGAGAGAGGGCACACGGCCTAGCTGGGCAATCGCCCCCCCTTCTCGAGCCCTCCGCCCTCCCCCCCCCCAACAACCCGCGGATGCCAGAGAACGAGCGGGAGACCACGCGACTCGCGCTTACGAGCCTCCTCCTCCTCCTCCTCCTCCTCCTCCTCCTCCTCCTCCTCCTCCTCCTCCTCCCTCCTGCTCCTCCTCCTGCTGCTGCTCCGCCTCCTCCTCCTCCTCCTCTTCCTACTCCCTCCTCCTTCATCCTTCCTCCTCCTCCTCCTCCGCCTCCTCCTCTCCTCCTCCTCCTCCTCCTCCTCCTCCGCCTCTTCTCCTCCCGCTCCTCACGAGGTCCATCGCTGAAGGCACTCCGGTGTTCAGCGGCGGGCGCCGAGCCACGCTGAGCTGGGCGACAGAGTAGACAGTGAGAGGCTCACGTCCACAGCTCTCACCGAGGAGGCGCTGTGGCCAAAGCCGAAGAGCGCAAGCTTGTGTAGAAGAACAGGAAACACCACACAAACAGAACCTTTTGGCGCTCCGCGCGGATTTCTTGGATCCGCGACGGACCCCCCTCCCTGGCGCGCGGAGCGCGCCAGGGGCGGCGCCGGAGGCGCCACTGGGGGGGCGGGGGCCCAGGCGCGGATCCGAGAAACCAGCACGGAGCGCCAGAAATGTATGTTTATGTTGTTTTTCGTCGACGAACCAAGGACCACAGAGGCGCTGTGGCCAAAGCCGAAGAGCGCAAGAGCTCGTGTCGTCGGCCGGACCGCACCGTCGAGACGAATGTATCTTGGAACGGGCCGCGCCGTTACGACAAGCTTCCTGGAACGGGCCGCGCCACACCACGGGCGACCACAGGTGCTGGAACTCGGACGAGACGAGATAAGAGATAGCACAATGGGAGATGGACAGGAGCGAGGCGGAAAGACTGGCAGCACGGCGGCGCGAGCAAAAGGAAAAAGTCCCCTGGCAAATTGTCCCAACCTGCCCCCGCGGCCCGATCGAACGGGAACTCGCGGCATGTGGCATCGGAGGATGCCGTCACGAAGCGGGGACCTCATGCCAGAACCTGCCACAGCACGGTCAGCAGCGGAAGCAATCCTTGCACCTCCACCAGTCCCTCCAGCCCTCTTGACCTCCTCCTCAACCAGTCCCTCCAGCCCTCTGACCTCCTCCTCAACCTGATCCCTCCGAGCCCTCTGAGCCTGACCTCCTCCTCCAAGCAGTCCCCCTCCCCTCCCCTCCCCTCCCCCTCCCCCTCCCCCTCCTCCTCCTCCTCCTCCTCCTCCTCCTCCTCCTCCTCCTCCTCCTCCTCCTCCTCCTCCTCCTCCTCCTCAGTGTCCTCAGTGTCCTACCAAAGCAAGTCCAGCAAAACCAGCCGAACTAGCTTAACCTGCTGCCGAGCAGGACCGACCCCAAAACAGGGAGCCTATGCCTCCTCGACCTCGGGTCCCGACGAATTTCCCCCCTCGTCGGGCCCTTCGTTGGGCCCTCCGCCGAACGGGGCGCCGAAGAGGGGGAAAGGGAGCCCCCAGAACCTGTTGGACTGGGGCTCCCGTCCAGACCTCAGTCGCCCCAACGCCATTCTGGCCAGACGGGCCGCCGACCGAGGACGGGAGGCGAAGGGACGGCAGGGGCGACCGAGGTCGTGGACCTGTCTTCTGGCATAGGCCCCGCAGACTCTACAGAAGACGATCAACCCCCTCCCATTAGCCTCGTCACCAGGCCCCCGACCCCCATCCCCACGCACCACCCAGAGCTGATGGGAGGGGTGGGCGATCGCCGCGGCCCGAGACACTCCTGGGCAGGGAGACGAAACAATCCTAGATCGGAGCCCCTTCCGAACCCCGCAGATTTTACATCCCCAGGCCCGTCCAAACCTCAGAAGCGAGTGCCCACGCTCGCCCGAAACGAGGACGACAGAATTGCGGGACGGCCTGGGGCGGGGGAGGGGGCTCCGATCGGGCCAGCCTAGGCCTGCCAACCTTTTCAAGACCGCTCCGTGATGGGTGGCGATCAACTCCGCGGCACGTGTGGCCGCACTCACCCTGCTCACCCTCTCCATCACGGCCTCGAACGACGGGTGCAGCCTGGCGCCCTCCTTGGCCTTGCTGTCCGCGCACTTGTTGCCGCGGTGCCAGGCCCAGGGCGTCCCCGCCGATGCTGCCGCGGCCCAGCTGGCGTGGGCTCGGACCCACCGCAGGCGGAACGCCTCTGGCCCCAAGTCTCTGATGTGCCTCCAGGCCTCCTTCCACAGGTCGGCGTAGAGCGACTCTGGGCCCTGGCACCAGTCCTCTCTTCTTTCGTAGTCCCCCACCAGCCGCAGGTAGTCCGTGACCACGTCCAGCTGGGGGCCCTTTTCCCTGAGCACTCGCACCAGCGCGTAGAGCTCGGCGTAGCC